GGATGAGAAGAGCACACCTGCCCCCGCCCATCCTCAAGACGTTCTACAGAAGCACCATAGAGAGCATTCTGACCAGCTGCCTCTCTGTGTGGTGTGGAGGCTGCAGCGCCTCCGACTGGAAGAACGTGAGGAGAGTGGTGCGGACAGCAGAGAGGATCTTCGGGGCCCCCCTTCCCTCAATTCAGGACCTTTCATCCCGGCACTGCGTGTCCCGAGGCCGAAACATCGTCAGTGACCACTCACACCCCCACTATGGATGGTTCTCCCTGCTGCCCTCTGGAAAGAGGTTCCGCAGCATCCGGTGCAGGACCTCCAGGTTCCGAAACAGTTTCTTCCCACTTGCCATCAGACTGCTGAACTCTTAACCTCACTGTACTTAATATCTGGTCTCACTTTATATCTTGCCCATGTACAGAACTAAAGAACTTCTATTTTACTGTCATTCCTGCACTCTATATTTCTATATTTACATACATATTTTATACTGTATTTTTGAAAGCTCAAAACACTGTCCTGAGCCGTATGCAACGAAATTTCGTTTTGTATACACCTTGTGCATGCAACATGACAATAAAGTTTTTAAAGTAAAGTAAGTAAAGTTCTTTCTCTGACTCATCTCTAAGTCTGAGGGCGGAACCAAAGTTTGTCTGTTCTTATTACTAACCCGGACGGCTTTGAGCACACTCTGACTTCCTCATCCAAACGAGGAAGACGGCTGCAGTCCTCTTCGGAGGGTCTCAGTTTGGGGCTGTAGATCTAATCCCACGAGCCAATTAGGGTGGATCTTTACAGCCAGGGATCCGACAAGCCTGTCGAGGTCCCACCCAAGCCTCCAAGCATTTGTTTTTACCTTCCAATGGGAAGATGATTTTATTTTGAAGGAGAAACCAGATACAGCTTGACTTTTTCTGGCTTGGACTGAAACAGACGCAAAGTTACCTGAGAAATAACACCTGTTCACTAATGATCGGTAAACGAGCCGACATCAGTTCTCTGACTGATCGAAGGCGAGCCAGTTTTCTACTCAGAGGGTGCCTTAAGAACTCATCATCAGGTAAAAGCTGAAGTGTTTGGGTGACGTGTCATGTGGAACTGAGTTGAGAAAAGACATGCAGATCCGGTTGACCCACCCTTTGGTAAACGCAAAATAGTAGAATTACTAAACTTACTTTCCTCCTTTTCCTTGTACTTTGATTTGCCGAAACTTAAGCTAAAGTGCCAGTAAAATTGTTTGGTTGTTTAACATCAGAACTGATGTTTTACTGTTCTATTATAAGTAATTTGAGTTGATGTGAATTGAAATTCGGACACGGGCTTTTATCTCATTAATAATGAAAGCTTGTTGTAGGAAATTCAATACCCACAATCAAGTGTAACTTTCTTTTATTAATCTTTAAGTTTCTTCTGATTTTTGCTAGTGTAGACTAGTTTCGGAGGTTCAGTTACAATGATGCTAGAGGTGAATAAAAGGGTGATAATGTTATGTTATTATTAAACCACAAGGTCATGATAATAATGTTACTTTTGCCCAAATAATCTGTTTGTATTGTTACTTCTGAATCAATTAATACAGGTTATATTCTGAAATTTATGCTCTTCTGTGCGTCATTTATTCGGTTTACACTCTAAACTGGTAGAATTCGCTATTCAGTATTTGAGACTGACTAAGATCTATAAATTAATTTCCTGGATACCAGGTGGTGCCCCCGTTATTGTGCTAAAAGTTACGAGGAACTTAAAACTTAGCAACTGTTTAACATCGACAGTATTCTCCTACAGAGCCATCACATCGAAACGAGGATTAAGTCCTAAAGTGATGTATGGA